TCTGTGACCAAAATCCATTCCCAAATCCCCAAACCCATCCCATGATTTTATGACCAAAATCCAGTCCCATTCCCCAAACCCATCCCGCGATTCCACGACCAAAATCCATCCCAAACCCATCTCATGATTCTCTGACCAAAATCCCTTCTCAAATCCCCAGTCCCGTCCCATGATTCTGGGACCAAAATCCCTTCCCAAACCCCCAACCCCATCCCATTTTATGACCCAAAATCCATTCCCAATCCCACCTTCTCCCTCCGCAGCCGTGAAGGAAACCTGTGCCTGGTTCGACGCCAACTACGCCAACGCCAGGAAGTGACGGCACCGGGATCACCGGGATCATCCTCTTCCAACTCAGGGTTGTCCTTTGCTGGGGCAGAGGACGGGGCTGGGGGGGTGACAGGGACAATTCCAAAGGGAAAAAAACCAGGAGCCCAGGGAGCAGCTCCCACATTCCTGCCCCGTGCCGGGAGTGGCGCGGGACGCCCAGGGCAGGGAGGGGCGGGAAGGTCGGAGTATCCCAAAGGGATCCCAAATTAGGTGGTAGGAAGGAGCCACCGTGGTGGTGTCCAAGAGGAGGGTGAGCTGTTAATGAGCTGCGCTAATTACCTGGAATTAGGCCTAATAACGGGAAGGGGATCGGGATTCCACGGCACAGGGACGGCAGCCAAGGGATTCGCTGCTGGCTCTTGGCACATGGGGATGATCCCATGGGATAAGGGGGGACCAGAGTGGCAAAGACTCCAGCTGGAAATGTGGCGTTTATTAAAATATATGCAAATAACCAAATATATGCAAATGACCTAAAACTGGCAGGACAAGGAGCCTCTGCCCCGAACCCACATCCGACGGCATCCGTGTGTTCTCCGCCAGGATCTGGGAGAGCCAAAAAAAAAAGAAAAAAAGGGGTTTAAAAGCCCTCAGGGAGGGGGTGGAGGGTCAAAACCAGGGGATGAATCCGTGGCTGAGCTGCTGCCGGAGGCGTGGATGTGGCACAAGTCCTTCCCGGGAATGGCTTTCTTCCGGCATCGCTGCCCGGCCCTGGTGAGCGCCCGGCACGGGGAGCGTGGGGACAGCAGGGACCTGCAGGGGACAGGCCCGTCAGCCCCCCCAGGAGGCCACAGCCCACGCTGGGGTGACACCAGGCCCTGGGGAAGGGACGGCCCGGGTGGTCGGAGCTCACGTGGTGGCCCTCGGGATGCAGGGATTGGGCTCCCGGCGCTTCCCGGTGTTCGTGACTGGCTCTGGTGTCGCCTGGTTGGGGAAAAAAGGGTTTAGGAGGCCCTTCCAACGCATCCTGTGGTTCTGTGGTCAAAATCCACTCCCAAATCCCCAAACCCAGTCCATGATTCCCTGATCAAAATCCATTCCCAAATCCCCAAACTCATCCTATGATTTTATGACCAAAATCCATTCCCAAATCCCCAAATCTATCCCATGATTCCCTGATCAAAATCCATTCCCAAATCCCCAAACCCATCCTATGATTTTATGACCAAAATCCATTCCTAAATCCATCCCATGATTCTATGACTAAAATCCACTCCCAAATCCCCAATCCCATCCCCTGATTCCCTGACCAAAATCCATTCCCAAATCCCCAAACCCATCCTATGATTTTATGACCCAAATGCATTCCCAAATCCCCAAATCCATTCCCAAATCCCCAATCCCATCCCCTGATTCCCTAACCAAAATCCATTCCCAAATCCCCAAACTCATCCCATGATTTTATGACCAAAATCCATTCTCAAATCCATCCCATGATTCTGTGACCAAAATCCATTCCCAAATCCCCAAACCCATCCCATG